CCAGGCGGAACGGTAATTTGCGTCCCCCCGGGGTTGATGTCTAGGGCCTTTTGGGGTGAAGGTGTGTCTGCCGATTCACTCGTTCGGCCAGAGGGCTTCTCGGAGCAGGGCCGGGAGTTATTGAGTCAGATGGACGCCACGTCCAAGTGGAAATATTATTGCGAATTGCAGTCTCGGTCTCTCGCATTGGTGAACCAACTTGCCATGGGGCCGATAGGTGAATTGGTGCAGATGAGGCAGAGGTTGGAAGAGGCCGATAGAGCGGTGGCCGAGGCCCGTGCTACGACCCAAGGGGCCCTAGCTACGAACCGCCAACTTGCCGCTGAGCTAGACGTTCAGAGGCGTAATAATGATACTCTTCGGCTGGACCTTCAAAAGGCGGAGAACGAGGGGAAGCGTCTAGCCGAAGAGGCACAGGCCGAGCTGGAGAGGGTTAAGGAGTCGGCGAAGGATCAAATTGTGGCGCAGCATGAGGCCAGATTTCGCCACGCCATTCGGCAAGCAAAGTACATCGGCCATTTTCGCGAGGACTTAGAGTTTGACATGACCAAGGACTTTTACCAAGGGTCTTTCATGTCGTTTGCCGAAATGCCTGCGGGAGCTATGCCTGATAGTGATGAACCGGATGATACTCCCGAGGGGGAAGAGGCTCAAGGTGCTTCGGATGACGAAGCCGAGGATGATCAAGAAGGGCCGACCCACGAGCAAGAGGACGAGCCCGAAACTCAGGAGGATGCCCCCACTCACCCTGATGAGTGACTGCCTTTTTGTACTTCGTAGAATATGAATAGTGTAGGGTTTAATAGGCCGATAGAGCCTTTTTTGTATTTTTTGCTCCAAGTAATGAAAGCTGACTTTTTACTTGCATTTCGTAACCATCTGGCGTATTGTTGAATTGTTGAATACCGCCGTCTTAATGAGAACCAAGCTAAAGTTGGTCTTTTACCAAAATCGAACAAGGTCCTCTGAAACGAGTTAAACAAGTTAAATTGTCCTTTTTTTTTTCTTAAAGGTAAAACCGAAGGGACTCTTTAGGAATTATTTGTTCTTTGAATCAAAGCCGAATGGGTTCGTTCGGTCATGAAAAACTGGGAGAGTTCCCTCGGATTTGATTGAACTGAACCGAGTGGAGTCATTCGGACTTGATTGCTTTTGGACAAAAACTGAATGGGTCCTTCGGGATCAATACCTTTTTGAGTCAAGGCCGAACGGAGTCACACGGAATTGTTGCCTGAGTCATAACCGAATGGATTAATCGAATGGGTCCTTCGGGATCAATACCTTGGAGTCAAGGCCGAACGGAGCCACACGGAATTGTTGCCTGAGTCATAACCGAATGGATTGATTCGGAGTTGATGTCTTTGAGTCAAAGTCGAATGGAGTCATGCGGAATTGATACCTTGGGTCATGATCGAAGCACTTCATTCAGACTTGATTGCTTTTGGACAAAAAACCGAATGGAGTCATTCGGAATTGATGCTTTTTAGGTCAAAACCGAATGGAGTCATTCGGAATTGATGCTTTTCAGGTCAAAACAGAACGACTTCATTCGGAATTGATGCTTTTTAGGTCAAAACCGAATGGAGTCATTCGGAATTGATGCTTTTCAGGTCAAAACCAAAATGGTCTTTCGGGATCAATGCTTTTAAGGTCAAAACCGAACGACTTCATTCAGAATTGATGCTTTTTAGGTCAAAACCGAATGAAGTCATTCGGAATTGGAGCCTTTTGAGTCAAAACCGAATGACTTCATACGGAATTGATGCTTTTTAGGTCAAAACCGAATGAAGTCATTCGAAATCGGAGCCTTTTGAGTCAAAACCGAATGGAGTCATTCGGAGTTGATGCCTTTTGAGTTAAAACTGAATGGAGTCATTCGGAATTGATTCTTAGAAGGTAAATCCTTGGCCGAGTTGGTTACTCGGGAAGGCAACGAGGGGAATAAAATTAAAAAAAAAAAAGCTATGAAGCATCAGGCTAGCCAAGATGACAATGTTGTTAGTGATCCTCCGTCTCCACCCATGCGCCATGAATTATGGAAGTTCGCCCACATAAAAAAAACAGGCGAGTTTACAACTAAGGCAGCAAAGGAGATTGTTAGCAAGATAGTAAGTATAATTATGCCTTTTGAGTTAAAACTGAATGGAGTCATTCGGAATTGATTCTTAGAAGGTAAATCCTTGGCCGAGTTGGTTACTCGGGAGGGAAACCTTGAGTGTTGATTTGAAGGTACATCCTTGGCCGAGTTGGTTACTCGGGAGGGAAACCTTGGTTGGGATTTGAAGGTACATCCTTGGCCGAGTTGATTACTCGGGAGGGAAACCTTGAGTGAGATTTGAAGGTACATCCTTGGCCGAGTTGGTTACTCGGGAGGGAAACCTTTTTCGAGTGCAGCTTTAAGTAACGAATGATAAGACTGAGCTGGAACTTTCATTTCATTGATATGTGCCTCGTTAAAAACCTTGTCGGCCAAAACCTCTTTTCACTTTTTTCTAAGAGGAGAAAAGACCGATCAAGGAAAAGAGTGCACTCTGTATGTATACATGGATCACTATCTTTACACAGAAAATTGCTAACTAAAATAAGCCTTCAAATGAGTTGAGTTCCACGTTCTTGGGATGATCTTTCCCGAAAGCTCCTCAAGCTTGTAGGCACCATTATCTAGAGAGTGACGGATTCTGAATGGGCCGTCCCAGTTAGCTGCCAATTTTCCTTCGCGGGGGTTGCGCCTTGCCGATCCTTGTACACGCCATACTAGGTCACCCTCCTTGAAACATCGCTTCGAAAGGGTGGAGTTGAAGCGCCGGGTCATTCTTTGCTTGCATGCTTCCGCCATTATACGCGCCTTGTCTCGGATCTCGTCTATGACATCAACTTCAACTCGAAGAGATGCATCGTTGCTTGCTTCGTCAAAATGTAAACGGCGGAAGGAAGGTTCACCTATTTCCATCGGAATCATGGCCTCAGTACCGTATGTCAATCGGAACGGTGTTTCCTTTGTTGTGGATTGAGGCGTACATCTATAAGCCCACAAAACTTCTACTAGTTCTTCAGCCCAGGCGCCCTTAGAATCTCCCAAGCGCTTTTTCAACTCTGTTAAGATGACTTTATTCGCCGCCTCGGCTTGTCTGTTCGATTGAGGATGTTCAACCGATGTGAATCGGTGCCGTATGCCTAAGTCTTGGATGAACTTGTTCAACTTTTGATCTGTGAATTGGAGACCATTGTCGGTTACAATGGCATATGGTATACCGAAGCGCGTGACAATGTTCTTCCACAAAAACTTCTGCACCATACCAGCTGTGATCGTTGCTAACGGCTCGGCCTCAATCCACTTTGTGAAGTAATCAATTGCGACCAACAAAAATTTGCATTGGCCTTTGGCAAGGGGGAACGGACCGCTCGGCCTCAATCCACTTTGTGAAGTAATCAATTGCGACCAACAAAAATTTGCATTGGCCTTTGGCAAGGGGGAACAGACCGAGGATGTCCATCCCCCATAGTGCAAAGGGCCAAGGAGAGCTAATGCTGTGTAACTCTTCAGCCGAGGCGTGAATAATATTCCCATGGCGTTGGCATTGCATGCATCGCTTAACAAATTTAACACAATCAGTTCTAAGAGTTGGCCAGTAGTATCCAGCTCTTAACACTTTGGCTGCTAGAGTTCTTCCACCCGAGTGAGACCCACAAATCCCTTCATGGATCTCTCTCAGCACGTAATTTGCTTGTGTTGAATCAATGCATTTCAACAATGGGGTGGAGAAGCCTCTTCGGTACAATTCACCGTTTATTACTGAGTATCGGGCTGCCTGTGCGCGGAGCTTTTTGGCGGCGGAAGGTTCGGTTGGTTGTTTTCCCGACTTCGATTGTATTAATACCCCTCCTAGGCGCAGCCGATGGGTCGTCCTTCCTATCACGAGACCTGCTTCGGTCACGCCGAGTCCTCTCAGAATTATCATGTCTATGTCGATCCTGGTGGCGAGGTTGATATGTTGACCGAGGCCGAGATGATCCTGACCGATCGAGTATACATTATTATATTAAATATGTTTCCAAAAAGTTCTCTTGTATTTTGTATGTAATCTGGACCATTGAAAATATATCATTTGCCTGGTATTAATTTGCAAGTTTTGTTCAGAAACCTTCTCAAAACAAACTAATCATTTTAAAAAAAAATTCACAACTTTTAAGATTGGTTATGGTAACAGCCGATCTTAAAAGTCCAACTTTTAAGATCGGCTATGGTAACAACCGATCTTAAAAGTCCAACTTTTAAGATCAGCTACTAGCATGACCGATCTTAAAAGTCCAGCTTTTAAGATCGGCTATTACCATGACCGATCTTAAAAGTCCAGCTTTTAAGATCGGCTATAAGCTTGACCGATCTTAAAAGTTCAGCTTTTAAGATCGGCTACTAGCATGACCGATCTTAAAAGTCCAGCTTTTAAGATCGGTTACTAGCATGACCGATCTTAAAAGATAGTCTTTTAAGATCGGCTATTATCGTGATTGATATTAAAAGTTGGACTTTTAAGATCGACTGGAGTGGCCGATCTTAAAAGTAGACTTTTAAGATCGGCTATTGACGACCGATCTTAAAACGTCTAACTTTTAAGATCATCTCTTTTAAGATCGGTCAAAGAACCGATCTTAAAACTCAAAAATGACCGATCTTAAAAGTCTTTTTTCCACTAGTGACACCTGAGTTCAAAGACATAGAAGTACCTGTTGTTTTGCCTCCTCAGTATAATTATATGGTAGACAGGATATATAATTGGCACCTTCAGCATTATCCAAATGATTTTCCTCCTCAGTGATTTCTCTGAATCATATTACTTCAGCACAAACAATTTTTGTTATGAATTTTTGTTTTCAGTCTTTGAACTTTCTTAGCATATATATTTAACTCTTTCAACTTTTAGACCATATGTATTCAAGTTTTTGAACATTTAGAGTTTAATATATGTATTTCTATGATTATTGGTTTGGTTCCAAATTGATATTTGGTGCATGCGCTGATGGTTTTACTCTTATCATCCACAAACTTGTCATCCGCAAACTGATTTTACTCTTAAAAACTAACAGTTAAATTTAAACTTGAGTCAATGCTTCAATACTATCATTACTAATTGTTGATAATTCCATTACAATTAAAGCAACATTACAAAAATATCCAAGCACAACATCCCCAAAGTTGTCATTACATACAGAACACCATATTTTCCTACTTCAAATAAAACACCCTTTCAAATTGAATCAAGTTGTTGCAAATTACATACATTAAGACCAAATTCAACAATAACATAAAACAAACAAGAATTATCAACAACTTCATCCACCATCTTATTGACTTCAGAGAATTCTGGAGATTGTTCATCTTTCTCCTCTGTCTAGCTATCAACAAATCCCTTTCATCCACATTTTCCTCTAAAGACCACTTCAAAAAGTTGCATCCTTATTGTTCAGCATCACCAAACTACAAATTTTTTTTAACAAAATTCACAAAACCCCCAAATTAAAAACTAGGGCAAAATAAAATTAATTAAAATACATAACATACCTTGTAATTTGGACAACCCCAAAATAATTACCAACATTTGCAGACGTCAGTTATTCACAACACAACAACCTCCCTATAGACACCTAATTTTGTCTGGGGCGTACAAACAAGGAAATGAACTTCCATTATCAAAGAAAAGGAGCTACCAAGCATAGAAACAATAGGACATGACATCAGAAGGCCTAAAGCCCAACAAAAG